GTATTGTGTGATATTACCACACTGTACCATATGGTATTGTGTGGTAACGAAATATATATTGATATTACCACACTATACCATATGGTATTGGGTGGTATTACCAAATATATATCGATATTACCACACTATACCATATGGTATTGGGTGGTAACGAAACATATATTGATGTGACAAATTTTTCATACCATATGGTATGGTCTTATTTAATACCAGTCAGTCAATACCATATGGTATTGACTGGTAATAACTGACAATTTTTTTATGTCCAAAAAATATCAAAGTGGATATCATTTTGAAGAGCACAATTAATCTGATCTAACTGTGTAAAAAAAATTAAATTCTGACTTAAAACGAGTGAGAAATCGTCCGTTAAAGATTAAGAGAAAGAAAATTAAATGTTTTTCGAGAAGAGAGAAGGAGGCGCTGATGTGGTCTGGTCAAAAGTCAGCGTCAGCAATAAATAAGGATAAGTACAAGTTTACCTTTCTGCCCTTTTGCATTTAATTTAAATAAAAAAGATGACTGACACGTGGGGACAGGAAAATGGGTTACTGATGGGTTACTGACCCATCAGTTACTGACATGATCTGCTCCCCTCTGATCGGCAACTCTCAGACAGGCAAGCTCTTTTTCGCTCTTTCTTTTTCTTTTGCTCTCCTTCTGTGTCTGCTTTCCCTTATCGCTTCTGAACATCAACACTCTTACGGCTTGTGGTGACTTTATCACTGCGTCCCAATACCGACGAACTGATTGCTCTAGTTTTCGTTCTAAAGTTTCTTTCTTTACATGATTTTATCTCTTTTCTGCTTTCAACTTGATAAGTTACGATAGGTTTCTGAAATTTGTGGAATAAACTAGCAGAATTAGATTAGCACGTCAGGATTTTGGGAAGATGGTTGTGGGATGTTTCAGATTTGGATGGTTAGGGCATTTGGATTGAGTGGCTGGAATAACGATTGCTTATGTCGAAGAGTTTTGGGATTTATAATGTCATCTGCAACTTCCTTCGAGTTTCGAACATCCAGAATCCGCAAATTGATGTCATGGCACAGAATTTCATTTCTTCCTATTACTCGTGCGGGCCTAAAGGTGTCATCAGATACTTGATTTCCAAGGTTATTCTTGTTGTTGTATTTCTTAAAATGATAGTAGTCCATGAAGGCAGTCTCTGTTCTTCACCATTGCATGGTTTATACACTTCTTGTGGGGTTTCATTCTCAGTTCCAAGTCCCACTTGGGTTTCCAAGGTAGTGTGAATTCTAGTCATCCTCGCCCATATGGAATATCAATTACCGGTTGGATGTCTCTGACTCCGGTGAACAATCTTATGCAGGGCCGTCCCATGATATTCGGAGGCCCTGTTCGACAATTTAAAATATGACCCTGAAAATTTTGTCTCACAAATTCATTAAAAATTAAAGTTATTAAATAAAAATTAATATTATATAAGTTCATAAAATAATTCCAAAAGTAATAATAATATTATTATTGTTCAAAAAGTAACAATCGTCTAGAATTATTTGAAATAAAATTCTCTATTAGCCCTTTCATATTCTCTATTTCTTTTGAAGAATGAAATCAATCCATCTAACGATTTGTTGAAAATTTTGGAGAAATTCAACGAAAAAAAAAACTTTTGGAGAAAGAAAAGAAGAGAGTCGTTATATCCTTTAACTGTTAGATTAGAAACACAAAACAACTCTTAGCTCAGTGGTTTAGTATTCTTTTAATAAAAAGGAGGTTGCCGGTTCGATCCCCATCCCTGCGTTTGCTCCTTGAAACATGTGTTTTTTGTTTGGGCTTGCCACCCAAGGGTGCAGCTCGCCCCACTTATTGATTGAGAGGCCCAATTTGGCTATGCTCTGCTAGGCCCAATTTGGCTCTGCTTCGGGCGTATGGATTGTGAGGTCCAATTTGGCTCCTGCTCTCCTTCCGGGCTTATGAATTATGAGGCCCCCAACAATTGAGGCCCTGTGCGGTGGGTCTGACCAACATAGGGTCTGGGCCGGACCTGATCTTATGAGGAGTTGAGGACTAATCGTAGAGTCTCTGGTTTCATAATTAGTTCTGGTGGATAATTAGACTTGAAGAAACTTAGGGCCCGTTTAGTATTGTTGCTTGTTTTTGTTTCCTGTTGTGTTTTAAGAAATTTTGAAAACCAAGAAAAAATCGTGTTTAGTTGGGGTTTATTTTCTGTTGTGAATCAAAGTTGCACAACAAAGCCCAAATATGAGAAACAACAAATTTATTGCTTTGGATATGGTTCTTGAACATATTGCAGACGTGATTCCTATTGGTTGGCCGCTTGATTTCATTAAACCAAACCAGTTTTCGAATCCCCACAAAAGCAAAAAAAAAAAAGTTTAACACATACCACCTCCAAACCCTACTTACTTGAACATATCAGCCGCCCCCCAACCCCTCCATTTTCTCTCAAACGAGAGGCGAGCAGTCCTCAGCCATCCCGTCGGCGCCGCCCTCTCCACTCCATTCCCGGCGGCGGCTGCCTGCTCGACAGCCGCCGCCTGCTCGACAGCCGCCGCCTGTCTCCTTCTTCCTCTCCTTCTTCCACCCGTCCACACAGCCACCGCCGCCCGCCCTGCCGCCACCGCTCGCCCAGCCCAGCCGCCTCATAATTGTCATTATGAGCATGCGATTCATGTCAAAACGGTATCAATTGTTGCTTATGATATTTGAAAAAAAAATCATTCAAACTTTACGTTAATTCGAAGGATTTAAGATTTAGGGATTCAGGGTTAGGGTTTAGGTTTACAATTTAGGATTTTGGGCTGGGATTCAAAATTGAAGGTTAAGGGGTTAGGGTAATAGATTGATTTGTTATGATTCTTTGTCATATCATCATATTAGATTGAGAGTACTAATTAAAATTTCAGAATTTGTCAGTGCACCCAAAAAAGTGGCGTATTCGGTGCACCTACTTTTTTGGGTGCATTGAACGCACTCACTTTCCTGTTTAATCTTAACCATTGATTACATCTAACGGTTACGATAATTTGATTTATTGCAAGTTTGGTCACTTCAATTACTAGTGAAATTCACGTTTGCCACTAAAATTAATTTATTTCATCCGTAGTCACTTAAATTAGGGTAACAGTCCAAATTTGGTCACTGGCCGTTACTCTACGTTAACTTTTGCTGATGTGGCGGTCAACTCTCACTGTTGACCGTTAAGTGAGGGACGTGGCAATTAAAAAAATAAAATATATTTTTTATTTTCACCTTATTATTATAAAAAAATCCGCCCCATATGAAACACTTTCCCACGGACACCTCCAACCCGAACGCCGACGAGGGGTCCTGCGCTTCGGTGGCGCTGAAGACGTGGAGCGACCCGATGACGTTGGAGGCGACGGCGAAGGCGTGAGTGGACATCAGCGTGGAAATGCGGGAGGGAGGAGCCCACGAGGAGACGAGATCGAGCGTCTTCGATTCTTGGTCAGGATGAGTTGCAGGATCGAACGTCTTCGATTCTTGGTCAGGAAAACAGAGTATCCGAAGCGGCCTTCAAACCCATTCTGCAGGGCTCCGCAGAGCAGAAGGAGCACTAATACACGACAGGGTCGCCTGAAGGAGACTGCGCGTCGCGGAGCTGTAATCCGGGTAACGGGTGTTCTCCACCAGGTAGTCCAATGCATTATTCAGATCGGCCTAGTAGCCGGTGTAGGGATATTCACCGGCGTGTGTGCAGTCCAAGAGCACCAAGTTCTGATCGCCCGCAGCCGCCTCGGTGGCAAGTGAGGAAAACGCAATCATTCCGACGGCGGCCAGGAGGAAGAAGCGGAGGAGCACCGACGAGGACTTGCAGAGGGAAGATGAAGAAGAGGAACCCATTTGTTGTGTTTGAGTTTTTGTTTTTGTAAAAGGCTGGGATGATCGTGATAAGGGGAAACAGAGGAGCTTTATGGAGACAGAGTGAGCTTCGTGATCTATATGTACGGTGGCAGTGGAAATCAAAGGGGTGTTTTATGTGCGCATGTGTTTCGTCTTTGGTGGTAGGTACTTAGGGGTGGAAGTTTGGGTTGCGGGTTGTGGATAATTCGCAAATCGCACCAACCCGCATCTATTGTGGATAATCATACCCACAAGTTATGGATAGTGGGTAGTAAAATAACGATTTTTATGGTTAGTGGTTATCCACTACCCGCCGCGGATAACCCACAAAATCCACAATAACCACACTAATTATATTTATTTAGTGAATTAACTTTATAATATAATAGTATGTGAAAAGTGCGAGGATAAAAATTAAAGTAGCCATCAAATAAGAAAGACACACCTAATCAATAGAGTGGAGAATAATCAATTCATTAAAAGTGAACACCTTTTGTAACTTTTATCAGTATGTTTTTGCTTTTGTGCGAAAAAAATACAATATCATATTTAATGGGTTAATTGCATGGTTGGTCACTGAGATTACAAAAAACGTTTAAGTTTGGTCACTCAAAATATTTAAATCCATTGGTGGTACTTCAGTTTACTGAAATGGTTCACGTTTGGTCACTCTCCGTCCAACTCCGTTAACTTTTGCTGATGTGGCAGTCAACTCTCAAAGTTGACCGTTAACTTAGTGACGTGGCAACTAAAAAATTATTAAAAATAAAAAAAATTAACTTTTATATTTCCACCTCATTATTACATTCATTAAAAAAATACAAAAACTAATTTCTTTTCTACAAGTTTCTCAAGTCGTTACCACTTCCTCGAAAAACGGCAACCGCCGAAAGTAGAGCTTTGTCGCCGGACTGCGACGAGGAAACCTTCAAGGAATTAGATCTCGAGTCCAATAAATCACGGAAGGAAAATGTTCAAGAACTGACGCTTTGATTAAGAGCACAGGAACTTACTCGACGAAACTATCAAAGCCAAGTTCGATCTTCTGACGCTTCCATCATCATACTTGGACTGCATATCCAAGTCCGTAAAGGGCATCCCTCAGTTCGAAGAGATCAATCTTTCCACTCCTGTCCCTATCGTATCTATCATATATGGCCTGTAAACAATACACGAGATTTGAGTTTACAGTGCCAATAGCATCTCTATCGAACTCATTGCAGAAATTCAGCAGACCAGCGAAGGCGAGAAAAGAGCCGAGTTACACAAATCAAGAAGCAAACGCAAGTAAACTGTACACCAGGTATAAGAGTAGTTACCCGCCATTGGCCAAGACAAACTCCAGAGAGCTGCAAATTCTTTAGGCCCTGAATCACAAAAGAAACCCCATTGAGCCAACATTTTCAAAACTTCGATTAAGGTTTGACAAATAGAAGATGCAAAGCAAAAACAAGTTGGAAACTAGTAAAGGTTGGACTTCAGAGAAAAGCAACTAATCCCAGAGTTGCAGAAGAAGGGCTACATAACAAACCAATTCCAAGAGCATCGTGGGGGTTCTTGAAGAGAAACATGAGCAACCTAATCGTCCTGATATCTAGAAGAGAGAGCTCGTTGCAGCTCCTTCTCATCAATATACCCACTCCAATCAACAGCCACCATCTCAAAGCTCCGAATCACATCAGGATGTGTACCCGGCGGGAAGCCCGAGTACCCCGATGAAGAACTGCCCTGCCCATACGACTGCGGATGCTGCCGATACTTCTGTTGCTGCTGCTGATTCTGGTGAACACCATAGCCACTCGGCTGTTGGCGCCGCGATCTCGTTGTTGCTGGCGGTAGGATTCCGGCAGGGAAGGCGCCGACGGCGCTTAGGACTCTGAAGAGTACGATCGAGCGTAAGATGACATTTGGGAAATAGGGAGAGCCGGTGTTTCCCCGCCGCTGATGAGGGTGGCGGCGGAGTCGCTGCAGTACGAGAGCGGGCTGCTGGGTGCCGTCCCGAAGCAGAAGGCTAGGGATTAGGGGTTTCGGAGGAGAGGACTTCTTTGAAGGTTTCCTTCCGGCGATAGAGCTCTGCTTTCGGCGGTTGCCGTTTTTCGAGGAAGTGGTAACAACTTGAGAAACTTGTAGAAAAGAAATTAGTTTTTGTATTTTTTTTAATGAATGTAATAATGAGGTGGAAAAGATAAAAGTTAATTTTTTTTATTTTTAATAATTTTTTAGTTGCCACGTCATTAAGTTAACGGTCAACTTTGAGAGTTGACTGCCACATCAGCAAAAGTTAACGGAGTTGGACGGAGAGTGACCAAACGTGAACCGTTTCAGTAAACTGAAGTACCACCAATGGATTTAAATATTTTGAGTGACCAAACTTGAACGTTTTTTGTAATCTCAGTGACCAACCATGCAATTAACCCCATATTTAATTGTCATATTTCACCTCTAGTCGGGGATATATGAAATCACAACTCTCTGACACAAAAGTTGAATGCCAAACTCAAAAGAAAAAAATCTCCACGTTGAGTAAGATCGATGTACAAAATTGTATCTCCACGAACAACACAAGTGTATATCACTAGAATCTAGTTACGAACAACAAATACGTTAGTGGCGACTAGAACTCTATGCTTGCAAAGATGGATTTTTGCGGGTAACCACACCCAACCCGCACAAACCCACAGTGGGTAGTGGTTACCCACTAACCACTGCGGTGCGGGTTATGGATAGCATAATTGTGAATTTGTGGGTGTCGGTACCCACACCCACCCCAATTTCCACCCCTTTGTAGGGTATCAATATAGAGGGTGTAATAACTGTTATGGTGTCTTGATTTGCTGTACTTCTTGTTCTATGTAGGTCAGAGCACATAGGTAGAGGTCTGATCAAGAGTCGAAGACGCTCGATCTCGTCTCCTCGTGGGCTCTTCCCTCCCGCATTTCCTTGCTGAAGTCCACTCACGCCTTCGCCGTCGTCTCCATCATCTCCGAGTCGCTCCACGTCTTCAGTGCCACCGAAGCGCAGGACCCCTTGTCGGTAGGGGTGTACATGGGTCGGGTGGTTCGGGTTTAACCATTTTAATCACCCGACCCATGCACTACGGTTTGGAAATTATCAAACCCAAACCCACCCAAAAAAATTAAAACCCTACGGTTTGTTTCTAATTGGGTTGGGTCGGGTTGGCGATATTTTTAAGTAAAAACCCAACCCAACATAAAATATATAATTATTATACATCATAAAAATATTTTATAACTAATTAAAATTTCAAACGAATAAAGCGAGGTGAAAGGTATCAAAATTTAAAAAGGTTGTTTGATTTTTAATAAAATGTGATTTACTTCAACATATGTCTAGTTTTTTTCACGATATTTGTTGAAATAGGCTAAAAAGGTTATAAACAAACGCATCCATACTATGTTATTCTATTAAATTTGTACACAAGAAAAAGAATTACGTGAATCATAACTATATTCAATTTATGTCTAAACTTTAAGTCGAAAAATGCATTAGATTAGGGAGACCATGATAGAAAAATATGACAAAATATCTTAATTTTCTCATAAGTATTGCTATATACGACATAAATATTTTTTAGATACGAACTCATACTAATAGTTGGAACACGGGTTGGGTCGGGTTCTACGGGTTGTGTAATCCAAAATCCAAACCCAACCCAAAAAAGGCGGGTTGTACAAAAGAAAACTCTCACCCAACCAAAAACCTTCGTTTTAGCGATAAATACGGGTGGGTTGGACGGGTGGGTCGGTTTGCGGGTGTGTTTGTTCACCCCTACTTGTCGGCGTTCGCGTCGGAAGTGTCCGTGGGAAAGGGTTTCATATGGGGCGGATTTTTATTTTATTTTTATAATAATTAGGTGAAAATAAAAATATTTTTTTAATTGCCACGTCACTCACTTAACAGTCAACAGTGAGAGTTGACCACCACATCAGTAAACGTTAACGGAGACTAACGACCAGTGACCAAATTTGGACTGTTACCCTAATTTAATTGACTACTGATGGAATAAATTGATTTTAGTGGCAAACGTGAATTTTACTAGTAATTCAAGTGACCAAACTTGCAAATTAGACCTAAACTAGGATACAAATTAGCGATAATTTTTTCGTCCTTTGTTCTCATGCTAAAGGAGAACCTCCAATGTAAGTAAACATATTCCATTTGTTGATAAGATGATTAATCTTGTTTTGACTCTTCTAGTCTCTATTGACTAAACTAGGATACAAATTAGCGATAATTCTCTCGCAGATTGTTGAATATTGAATGAGATATAATCGATACTTTTAGAGATGTTATTTTGAGCGATTTCATTAATCTCAAAGACGCCGTGTACGTTTAAGATAATAAAATTTATTTGACATTTTCATAGTATTATTTTGTTTGAAATCCCCCAGTTGAAATCCTGGCTTTTCCACTACAACCCATAACTATTTATTTGGTCGTAATTAGTTGTTGCCGCCATAGCTAGATTTGGTAAGGGTCTGGTCAGATCCATAACTGGAGTTCTTTTGGACGTAACTGGTCTGATTGTTAGACCCGTAATTGTCACAGATGAAATCTCAAAATCCACATATTTTCAAAAAAAATCTCAACGTTATAAAACATTTCCAAAATATACATGTTTGGGCATCATTGAGGTTGTCAACCGCAGTAAATGCATGCACCGCGGTAGACGAAAGCGGTGAATGCATCACCGCGGTTGACGGCCGCAGTGAAAGCCTGACCTAACACCGAAACTTTAAATGAACGTAATTTTGCGCTCGGTTATCCAATTGTAGCGAATATTTTTTTGATTCCGCATAACTTTTCAAGATCTTTCAATCTGCAACATCTCTTCATCTAAAAAAATGTCATTTGTTACCCCGAACGAGCAATTTTTCGATTTTGCCAAACTTTGGAAGGCCATAACTGTTAACTCCTCAATCCGAACGTCGTAAAGTTTTTTTTGATTGCGCATAAATTTTCAAGAACTACAAATTTTACTAGGAAATAATTTTTTTAAAAAATAAATTTTTTTAGGTATACAGGATTTTGGGAATAACTTTGCCTTTACTTTTCACAAATCTACATACATTCCAAAATTATGGTTATAATCAAAGTTGTAGTCCTGCAAAACTTATGCAAAATCAAAAAAAGTCTCATGACATTCGGATTGCCGAGCACAAATTTATGGTCTTCCAAAATTTGTCAAAATCGAAAAATTGCTCGTTCGGGGTAGCAAACGATTTTTTTAGATGAATGCTTGTTACATATTGAAAGATCTTGAAAAGTTATGTGGAATCAAAAAAACATTCGCTATAACTGCGATTGACAACCGTAGTGATGCCCAAATATGTGTATTTTGGGAAATTTCTTTATAACGTGTGTATTTTGAATTTAAAAAAAAAAAACATGTGTATTTTGTGTTTTTTTTTACTTGTCACCAGCACCTGTTATGATGAAATAGCTTTCAGTTGAACCTTGCAACAACAATGACTTCATGGCCCAATTGATAAGGCGCTGGTCTACGAAACCAGAGATTCTGGGTTCGATCCCCAGTGAAGTCGCTCTGTTATTTAATCTATTTTTGGAAAGAGAGAAGAGGAACAATGGCCGACCTCTCATTCTGGGTGTGAAGTCGCTCTGTTATTTTTATCCTTTTTTTGGAAAGAGAGAAGAGGGACAATGGCCGACCAGAGAGGGGAGAAGCAAGCAGAGCAGTGAAAGTGAAGAAACACATCGAACGAGATCAGTAAAATCGCCGGCGTTATGTCGCACCCAATTTCAACATCCTCTCCATCTCAGCCATTGCTCTCCGTCTCTCGACTCTATCCGATACTTCCAGTGGCGGATGCAGGGGGTGGCCACCCCGGGCCCCGGCCCAGCCCTCCCCTGTATTCGGAGTTAGTATAGTGTTTATGAATTTTTCGATTTTAGTTATTCGGCCTCGTGTTATTTTATAATAAGATTGGGTGTAACTAGAAAAATGATTCAGATTAACATATTCAAATCACTACTATAAATTTAGTCTAGAAATTCTAACTCCAAAGACTATTTTTCTAAAAAAACAATGAAATCTAAAAGTCTAAAACGTAAAAGACTATAAGAAATATGAGGTTTATTCCCTTGAAAATTTACTTAAGCAGTTAGTGGATATAGGTATGGACACACAATGCACGATTGATTTGTCTAGAGTTGACGCTGCTCGTACCAACAACTACTACAAGGATAACCTTTTCAACAATGAAACATATTAAAACTGATTTCGCAACAAAATGAAAGATGAATTTCTAGTCGTTTGCTAAAGTATTTTATTTTAAAAAAATGTATACTATTGGTATGGATGTGAACTCCATTATTGATGCATTCGCTAAATTAAAATACCGTCGTGTACAATTTATATTGTAAAAAAAAAGACTACAATGTTTTTTTACGGTTCTAATTTTTTAATGAAATGCGGCCCAGTGCTCTTCTGTGTTCTGGATCCGCCGCTGGATACTTCTTTAGCTTATTTAACTCCCATCGTATGGTAAAAGTATGAGAATGAACACTGAAACTAAGCTTCAAGAGGCCAATAGTTTCATTAGGTAACGATCAATAAGCAATTACAGAGTCTTTCTGGCTTTCATCGTGATCTACATTCTATGGGGAAAAAGAAGGGATGGAAGGATGACAAAGAAGCTTATGATTGCTGGACGCTGAGAGAGCTTTCTATGCGTTGGATGAGTTGGTCTCTGGGCAATGCACCTTCCTGAAACCCACAGTCCAAAACCCGAAATTTAACAAAGCTTGGCACATTGAGAACCGTTGTTCATGGAATTATGAAATAGATGGGGAAATGGAACACTTACAAAGCGATCAATAGGCTTCCCGTCTTTGAACAGGATGAAAGTGGGCAATGCCTGGATGTCGTATTGGTTAGCAATGGCGGTGTACTTTTCGGTATCGATTTTCACCACCTGGACTGTGTCGTTCATGATGATGCTCACTTCCTCCAGAATTGGCACCATGAATTGACACGGTCCACACCTGAATTATGAACTGGTTCGGATGAATGGTGATCTTGGAAAGGACAGAGAGAAATGACCATTGAGGATATGGGAAATCATATGGAGATTGCTAATACCAGGTTGCGTAGAAATCGACCAGTACGGGTTTGTCTGACTTCTGCAGCAGCTCATCCAAGTTGGCAAAGCTTTCCTTCTTCGCAGAAACCTAGGAAGAACTCAACCAATCAGTTGTGAGCATTTTCCCACATTTACCTAAAATGAAGGTTGCATTTTGAGCACTCAAACTCGTTGAAAACCAATAGTTCATAAAAAGCTTAAGCGAAGACACTTCAGAATCACATTCCACAATCAATACTGTTCTACAAACTTATGGATAAAAAACATGCACCAGAACGGATAGTAGAGTGCTGATGGACTTTGCTAATAATGATCCGCCTATTCCAGCCTTGACTGGGAATTCACATTAACAGCAATCAACTGGGCATACTTAGTTCAAGACCATGGATAGTAAATATACACAGGATATCCATGATTAAAGAAACTAGAGCCATGATATATTAGACCTTCCTTTTGAACACAGAAGCTGCAGCAACTATCAACTATCTAGTTCACATAAAAAAAAAAAAAAACATTATGACAATTTTATGAGTTTGCCAGGGATCCACAGAAATATTTCTGATATCGTAACCCCATTAGAGCAAGGGGACAAAGGGTTCAATAGGAATTGAGTATTGACTAACGAACCGTCATTAACTAACATAAATTTCTCATCTTCTGATCATAAATAGGGTATTTTGATAATCAGTACCACAATTAATGATTTCAAAATGAGATGCAGAGAAAGCGAACTATGCACAAAACGTCTAATTGCAATCACCAGGCTACTACCTAATCAACTTGTGAAGCATAAATGATAATGGATCATTAAAGCAATCAAGGGTTAAATATTTACTCAGGCTTTCTCCAACGAGGAAAAGTTACTCAAACTCGCGATCAAAAGAATGGAAATCATTAGCATTCAGCAACTGACATTAAAAGAAAAAAACACACCACAGAAGTAGGGTCTATCAGCAAACAACATCTAGAAGGGTAAGTAACTTAAGATTCTTAGGTCTACACAGCTTAAGCATCAATAGAAGAAATGAGGAATACATCCAAGACACCGCTAAGCTTAGGCTGGGTTGAGAATTGGCAAGTTATACTATCTCCAGTACCAAAATCTGATCATCCTGACTGATTTCAAGAACAATGGGAATTCTGATTAGTAATCAGCATCTTGCGTGATTTCACTCTTGATGTTCTTCAAAGTTTCAATCTTTAGGCAGACAACATTTTGCCCACATATCTACCTTCCAACTAAGTGATCATGCCATAAGCCGAAAAGATGTTTTAAGAGACTGAAGGGTTAATACTGGAGAAGAAGGGTCTCTCCGAGAATAGGGCTTCCGCGTAGACAACAATTTCATAAACAGACAGCAAGAAGAGCAATGGCAGAGTTCTTCTGCAAACCTAGACAACAGTGAAGATAATACAACCAAAGAAAACCACCGGTAGGTGATGTCAAACTTCTGAACTATAGATTTCTCATCCCTTTCAACTTAGTTTCATAATGCGTGGGAATCGAAAGTGTACACCGAAACACACCAAATAGGCAAAACCCCACTCAACTTAGTTCCAATCCGCCATTGAAGCTCGCAAGACCATAAGTTCAAATCCGTCATAGAAAAGTCAACATTCTCTTTTTACCTTAGGTAGGATTCGAGAAGGTCCGGCGGGGGACGAAATCCGTGAATTGGAGAGCCAGTTAGGTTTCAGCTGGAACGGAAGCTGTGTCGCGGAGGAAAATGAAGATAGCTTGGAAGAGTAGGAATGGTAGCTGACGGAATTAGGGGTTCCGAAAGAAGATGTGATTGCCGACGAAGCAGAGATGGAAGAAATCGCCATTCTTTTGGTGGGAAGATGATTTTTCGATTACTCTCTACTAGTGCGACTGCTAGAGATAAAAAAAAACCTCCGACGATTTTGGAGTGAAGGAATCCAAGCACAGAGATATCTGTTTTTCTGAGCGAGGAAGATGAATAAGACAAATTTTTGGAAGGAAACGGCAAGAGAGCAAGGTTGTCATCCGGTTTGGGTCCGGTCGAGCGAGTGAAGGTTTAATGATTGGACCGGATTAGTTCGGAACTCCAGATTAGTCCGAATTAGTTTTTTTTTTGACAAAAGATAGTTGGTATTGGGGTAGTTATCATAAATGGTCACAAACTTATTCACTTTGTACAAAATGGTCACAAACTTTTAATTTTGTACGTTTTGGTAAAAAAAGTTTGAGTGAATAACAAAAAGGTCAATCCGTCCACTTCCGTTCAAAATTCCGTTAATTTTGCTGAGTCAACATGACACATCATTAAAAATCATAATAAATAATAATATAATCATTCGAATTAATCCAAACAACCTTAACCGATTCTCTAACTCTGTAACCACTAACCACCCGGCAGTACGCCCGAACCTTATCCTCACACGCCCGAACCCAACTCTCCAATGTCAAGCACCTAAACGTGCAACGGTGGTTCTCCGTCACCGGCGGATGACTTTACAAGTCCATCGATTGGATCTTCGCCGACAGAGGGTGTTTCTTCGTGTCCAGTGGATGGTTCTCCATCAGTTGATCCTTACCCAGCTTTTTGTTGGTATCGCCGCCTCTAATAGCTTCAAGAATAGGCGAACGACGCTGCTCCTCCATCCCTCTGCCCGGTATTGTCGCCTCCGGTAGCTTCAAGAACAGGCGCTTCGGATCTTGGTGCTCATTACTCTGATTCACAATTGGCCGTTGTACTTCTCTTTCCAACGTATCCGCCGCCGGCATAGATCCTTCTACGCTGATCGATCCCCGGCGCGCACAAACGGAGACCGAATCTTGTGGCTTCTCGAATTCTTCCCGTTGCTCATTATTGCAGTTTCCAATTGGCTGGTCCACTACTCCTTAATTCACAGAGAAAAGACGGAAACCAAATCCCAGAACACTAAACAAAGGGAAGGGCAATTGAATCGTCTTCTTGAGTGCTGAAATAAACAAAACAATGGAGTTTGTGGAGAGATTGGTCGAAGAAGATGGCTATGGAGACAAATAGTGAACCGGTTAGGGTTGTTCGGTTAATTCAACAATTAAATTATTTTTATTAATATTTTTAATAAATTTCATGCTGACTGGACATAAGTAACAGAATTTTGGACGGAAGTGGACGGATTGACCTTTTTGTTATTCACTCAAACTTTTTTTACCAAAACGTGCAAAATTAAAGGTTTGTGACCATTTTGTACAAAGTGAATAGGTTTGTGACCATTTATGATAACTACCCGTTGGTATTGATATCAAGCAAGATAGTTACACCCTGGAGAGCAGCCAGGCCACCATATGGGCTACCCTATTACTACTCCGACCTACGAATCGAATCCTCAAACCCGGGTGGAAGCGAAAATATAGCAAAACTTCTTCCAAAACAGCACCCACCCGATTGTCTCTGGCATCCCCTTGATTGAGTTTGTCAATAATCACCTTCGCATCTCCTTCAAAACGAACATTGGTGAAGCCATTCGCCAGACACCATTCGACCGCCTCCCGAAGGACCAGTAGCTCCACCGTCATTGGGTCTCCCAACAGAGGGAATTGGACTCCTTTAGCCAGAAGGACCTTCCTATCAGGGGATAACAGGACAATTCCACCAGCCGCATGCGACCCTGGCCGAATCCCCCCATCCCACTGACAAATGAGCCCCCCAACATCACCTAGCCCTTCACCTTCCCCCACCGGGACTGAAGGATGGCGAGCCTTCTCCACTGGCAAACGTACCTATTCCTCATATTGTTGATGAAACTGACGCATCAAGGCATCGATCCCAAACTGCTTGCCTTCAAAGACCACCCAGTTACGGGAGCGCCAAATACGCCATAAGATAGCAACCACAGCCATGAACAACTGGGGTTGGGAAATCAAGGTCATCAATCTTTTAAGAAATAATGGGAAAGTGTGCCGCACCAAGCCCTCCCCTACATAATCCAGTCCTGAGTACTCCCACAATGCCCGCGCCACTGGGCAGTCAAGGAACAGATGTTCCATTGTTTCCGGACTATCCCAGCAGACCGGACATCGAGGGAGCACCGGAACACGCTTACTAATCAGGGCTTCAGTAGTTGGTAAGATTCGATTAAGGATCTGCCAGACAAAAACCTTCAGTTTAGGAGGAATATTAGCATTCCATAACTTGATCCAACTCTGCCTATCCATCCAACTTACAGTGGCCTTCCAGCCATCCCCCCTTCTATCCAACGCAACAGCTAAATGGTAAGCAGATTTGACCGAGAACAGCCCATCTGCCGTATCATACCATATGAGCTTATCCTCCACATTTCGCCGGGGAAGAGGGATCGATTTAATAGCCCTACAAGAAGGGGGATCGAACCACTGACTAAGCTTTTGGTCATCCCAACGGCCACCATCCTCGCACATAACAATCGCTACAGGTGGGTCACCACCATCGAGAATGATCATAGGATTAACCACCGGGGGATCAAGTTGGAATTGCGGGATCCAGTTGGAATTCAGCAAAGAAGCAGTTTTCCCATTTCCAATATGCCATCTCAACCCCTTCTCCAATAATGGTCTTATTGATTGTCGTAAACTTAGTTTGCGCTTTATTTCCAGAGCATGAAAAACGAAAGGCAACCGTTCAAATTTTCAAAAACTACTTAAGCTAAGAATACCTTCAGACTACAAATCGGTATAACGAATGACTTACACTTTATTAGTTTAACTAGTATTAACCCATTAAAACATAATTAAAGAACCAGTACATTATAAAGAAGAATATTACAAGTAGAACACACATAAATTTTAAAGAAATTGCTAAAATCCACACTCAAAAGATATTTTCTTCAATAAAAATGAAAATGTTCAATAAAAAAAGGGCTAATACCACTACAACACTTGAACTATCCGAAAAATGCCACTTGTGTCCTATTGTTTCCAATATTCCATCTGTGTCCTGAACTATTATTCCGTTAGTGTTGACCGGCGTTGACCGTTAGTATTTAACAGAAAATCCAGTCATCGTTGACGTGGCATCTGACGTGGAATTTTTATTATCAATTTTTATTTATTTTTTCATATAAAATAATTAAAATAAGGAAAACAAAATAAAAATTATGGAAAATTACAAAAATAAAACAATAACTCAAATGATTTTTTACCAACGTCTGGCTTCTTCTTTCTGTTTCTCCGACCAAATATTTCCGGATCCTCATAAGAGAGGATAGCAGCAGGCGCTTGTGCGGGAGGAAATCCACCCGATCGAGGTCGGGGATCTTGCGAAGACGTCGGTGATTCGAAGACGCCGAAGTTGACGAGGATACAGGCGAGGTCGCCGCTGTTCACGAGGATGCTTGGAAAAAAACTATTTCAGATCTGTTTGGTTTTTTATTTTTTTCCAGGGAAAGAAGAGATCGAAGGAGGAGGTTCTTGTTCATCGATTAGGGTAGTAGGATTTTGAGTTCTTGAAAATCCCCACCCACCCCCAATCTGTAATGGCGACCCTACTTCTCTACTCAATATCGACCCTACCATCACCATCTCTTTCCCTCTATTGTCGTGCTCTGTCATCTCTTCTTCAGCGTCGATCTGGTGTCGCGGTCACCACCCGTTATGGCAGCGGCAAAAGCAAGTGAGTGCTTAAGCGAGGGAGACGATTGGAGTTGGGGCAGTGAGGAAAATGGTTGCGGTTGTGGTTAGGTGAGGCGTCGACGGATTGGGGCATGGCAGAATCCAGATCTACAATCCATCTCAGTCTAGCTCTTTAGATAAGGGGGCATTATTGATGATGAATGATGATTGACGAGAGATGGAGGGACGGGAGGCGGCGGGTCTGGGAAAGGAGAGGAGAGGAGAGGAGAGGGGAATCAATTCCCCTGCCGACGGCGCCGTCATCGCACCAGTCAATTTTGGATGTTTGAAATATTTTTTAGTAATATTGTTAAATTTAAAACTTATCATTTTTATTTTCATAATTTAATTTTATTATATTTTTTAGTAAAAAATGATGTGGCAATGACATGGCGCCTACGTGGATGTCACATACTTTGCCATGTCAGCAAAAGTCAACAACAATTTGACCTCCGTTTGGTCAACCGTTATCTTTAACGGTCAACAAAATCGGGAGGACACAAATGACAAAAAGGAACATACGAAAGGACATAAATGGAATATTGAAAAGAATAGGACACAAGTGGCATTTTTCGGATAGTTCGGGTGTTGTAGTGGTATTAGCCCTAAAAAAAAGGGGAAATGAGGAAATTAAGAATCAAATTGGGGTTGGTTAGTAACAAGGGGAACTATGCAAATTATGGAGCAAACTAGAGTTGACTAATGGTATGGAAAATGAGCAAGTTTAAGGATCCATATAAATCCTCTTATAACTAGCTTTTTACCCGCCCGTTGGCCGGAGAAATTTATTTTATAATTTATATGTTTAAATCATTTTGGTTCTTCTAAATATTTTGTAACAGAGTTTGTAGTATGTCTATATTGAAATTTCCAATATTTAGCACATTCACTTGTGATGCTACGATGTTCTAATAATAAATTATGCCGCTGCCACGTCCCATTTAGAACTTATGTTAAAATTTGTCAACCAAAACACTAATATTTAGCGTACGCCAACCTGAACCACATACACATATATATAGTTCAAGCTAGCGTGCGCCAGGAGTACGCTATACTTTTGCGTTCATACTACCATACGTCCATTGAGTTTTACTATTTAGACCCGAATTAACCAGAGTTTTTTGGGGCATGATACTATACCCTAACCTCTAATAGGTGAACTCCAGTCCCTAATTCTGTAAACTCTAATTTATGCACATACTTCGTAATACCTATCTTCTATCGTATCTTGAGTAAAATAAAAAGTATAGTATACCTTGATATTACATATACATGTATATGTGTGTGTGTATTAGACTCAAAATTATCTAGAGATCTCGCTTTTAACCCCATAACGCCAGACAACTATTGGGGTCGTCTATCGTTCGATATATAATGTATAAAGAGGCAAAT